AGGGAAGTTCAGTTCTACACTGGAGAACAGGAGAGAAAGTGCTTCTGGCATTGCAGAGTACTAATACAGAAAATCTGTACTTAAAAATGAAAGCCCGGTCAATATCTAGTTAGCATGCAGGTCCTGAAATGAGGGACTCTCTGCATCAATGTGGGCTAGGAGCTACGCAAATCCTATTATACACGACTGGGAGATAAACAAATATTATAGATCAATTTAATCATCTGCTTAAAAAGGGTAAATACAACTTTAACTGAGTCTTAAAACGAAGAGAATTTATTGGCTTAAGTAAGAAAAGCATCCAAATGTGGGCAGGCTTCAGGCACAGATTGATCAAGGTTTCCTTAGTGGTTTACTTTACTTGACCCACTCCATATGCTGGCTTGATTCTTATTTTGCCTTCCCTCAGGGTGATATAGTGACTGCCAACAACAAGCAGGACTGAGGATCCTAGGAAAATGTTGGAAGAATAGGGAGAGAAGGAGAAAAATACTTATCATGGGTTTCCTTCCTTCCAATCCAATCTTCCACCATTTCTTTCATTGGCAGGAACTAACAAAAAGCCAGAGTGTAAGGGAACCTAGAATCAGCTCCTAAAGAGGTAAGAGCTGTATTTCATTAAAGGAAGCAGGTTTGGAAAGGCTACCTCCTCTGCAACCAGACGCTCCGGAGCTTCAGCAGGGACATTGGTAGGACATTTGGCTTGACATAACACTCACAGTCCCAAACTTTTCTCTCCTCATACTCCCTGAGAGTGGCAATTAGTGTTAGGGCTGTGTACCAGACAGCCACGGGGCTGGAGCAAGAGGCTGTGTTGCTCTTATCTGCCATGTTCTCTTCCTGGCGGGGGGAACTCACCTCCACCCTCCTGTGGATCCCCAAGGGCTCAAGTAACAAGCAGTTGTACCCTGACACTAGAAGAGTCCACGCAACCTAAGGTAGCCTTCAGGTACTCCTTCCCAGGAATCTGTCCCAGGGACAGACGTGACAGGGCCAGGAAGCAGTCAGAGATGGCTCCTCTGGTAGCAGAGCTCTGGAGAGCTGCCCTGGGGAGAGGCAGCAGTCTCTGGCCCTGTCTGGCTCCCTGTCCTTCCTGAGACATGCGTGGTCAGTGTCCTGCCTTCTGTGAACACCCCAGTGTGCCTCCTATGAACCTTTTCTTGCTTCACTGAGCGTTTAAAAGTCAACATAGTGTAGCCTAAGTAATCGCCACAGAGAATAAGAACTGAAGGTACAGCAGGGTGCCATGGCGCACACCTGTAATCCCTGTTGCTGGGGAGGCTGAGACAGGAGGATCGCAAGTTCAAAGCCAGCCTCAGCAATAGCAAGGTGCTGAGCAATTCAGTGAGACTCAGCCTCTACATAAAATACAAAATTGGGCTGGGGATGAGGCTCAGTAGTAGAGCGCCCCTGAGTTCAATCCCTGGTACCCCCCAACTCCCCAAAAAAGAATGGAAGGTGGGTCCTCCTTGCTAAGGTTATTTGGGACAAAGACACTGTAAATTCATATTCCTCACCAGGAGTCTGGGACAGGCAGTATTGCACAGAAGCCCATGGACCATAGATATTTGAGTTGCTGAGGCTAGCTTTGAACTTGCAATCCTCCTGCCTCAGCCTCCTGAGCACTGGGATTATAGGAGTGTACCACTGAACCTATCACAAATGTCCTTGAAAAACAGGGAGGTACAAGGGAGATTTCATTGTCTGCATATACATTTTTAAAGAAGATATAGTATTGAAATAACTAATGAATTTTATTTTTCATCTAACTAATACTATAAAAAGTAATACTCTCAGGGTTCTTCTTTGGGACAAACTTATATCCTTCCTTTCTGCCTGCTGATTTTTATATAAAAAGAGTATTTTTTTTCTTATCATGTTTACTAGTGTTCCACACATTTTATTGGTAATGTAGGACTACTGTGTTTGCTAAAGGCTATCTCCCAGACAGGCACACAAAGGCAATCCTGAAGGCTGTGCTTACAAATGTTTTATTCTTATTTCATCCATTTGTTTTTTTTTCAGCAAAAAAAATGCATAGTTATATTATTTATACAGACTTTCATATTCAAAACTGCAGGGAACAAATGTCTCAGAAAGCTGAAATCATGGCAAACTGTACGACAAACAGGAGTCACAATATGTTCAGTTACATGCACAGAATTGACCGAAATGATATCTATTTCTAAAGACTATTTTGGCTGATTTATCAGGAAATCTGGAATTACGATAAAGCAATGCTCTTCTGTCAGAACACACTATTGACCTGAAACCACCTCATAGTCCAGGTAGAGAAGTTCCCATGTCCTGAGGAGGCCTCTTCAGCCAGCTAAATATAGCTCTTTAGGATTTAACAAGCAGTGGGAAGAATAATTATTTCTTTATGCCTAGGTTATTCTTTTTTCTTTTTCCATTATCACCATTAAGTGAATTTAAAAACAAAAAATAAAAACAGAACAAGACAACAACAACAAAAAAGAATCAAGGTTTCTATTTGATCACTGCTAAATCTTCCCTCTGCCTCTGACCTGAGGGAGAATATGCATATGACCCTTTACTGCAGAGGGGACCTGCTAGTTGTACCTTTTTGGAAATCCCAGTACAATCGTGGCATTTAAATTCTTCATTAGAAATGGATGCACCTCCTAAGGCAGATGGTCAGAGAAGGCCAAGGACTCCTTTTAGGAACCTCTGTCTTCAAGGCTGGATTCCTGGAAAGCCAAGGCTTCAAGGTGGCAGAGAGGACCTGGGGCTGATTCTTCTTCCCACTTCAAAGACACAAGGGACAGAGTTTCCAGGGCTATGCTTCTTACTGGCTCTGTAGTCACTGTCCTCGAACCCTCGTCACCTCCTTAGTGTCTGGGTACTCAGTTGCTTTGCTCACCACCTCCAGAGACCCAGAACCCCTCTGGCAGAAAAGTAGACTTTCCTAGCTAGGTCCTCCCGGGAGAGGAAATTTTAAAAAGTTTCTAACCAGAATTTTAAAAGACTTTGAATTTAACCTTGTTACACACATAGAACTTATTGGACATATTTTCTTCTTAAAAAAAAAAATCCTTTTGTCTTTAAGCTCTACAGTATTTACATTTTTAAAGACCTGAGAGGTCTTTTTCATTTGGATAAGAACTCAAGGTGATTAAACTCCTAGGACAAAGATGAGGCTTTCCAAAAAGCACTGGTTCTCATCCAGGTGCTAAGGCCTGTTTTATTAACAAACAAACGGCTATTACAAATTTTGCAATATAAAATTAAAATACTTCTTCAAAATTGTTTCCCATGAATTTTGCTTTTTTGCATCCAGTGTATTAAAAACAGGTTGTGCTAACTAGAAATAAATCTAAGAGAAAGAATGAAATGAAAGTTAACTGGTCCCTGTACTTCATCTATAAATGGGCTGATTTACATGGTGTCCTTTCTCCATGTGGTAAACAGAGGAAGGGTCATCCTTATGACATCTTTATGGCCTAAATAACCAACTGAAGGACACCCCCTCCCAGCCTGGAGTGCTTATTGTATATTTGGGTGGAGTTGTAAGGCATGAGCAAGGTGGCCTGCCACTTTTACACGCTGGAGAATAATTTTGCACATTCAAGAACATTTTCCTTGAGAAATGCCAGGTTTGGAATAGCTTTCAGAGGTTGGAACAAAAAGCTGGAAAGCTCCTGTATAGCATTTAGAAGCAAAAGACACTGGGAATATTTTCAGAAGCTCAAGGGAAAATCTGCTTTCCCAAACGAGTTAAACAGTAAATGAGTGCGTATTGTTGCACATAGGTGTACATTAAATTTCAGAGCTTTCAAAAGTCACATCCTGCCACAATTAGCAGCTCAGTGAGTATTCTTGGCCTCTGACCTATAAATAAACACTCTAATTCTGCAACATGCCCACAGACTCTTAAGCGGCTCTAAAATAAATAAATAAAGCAAAAGGAAAAAAAAAAACAAAAAACAGGACTACAAACTGGTTAGAAATCTGCAACCCAGAGTGTAATTTTGTCCTTTTTTAAAAAAAGAACAGCATAAATTTATATTAGCTTTTTGGAATAGTGACCAAGAAGAACTGACATGCATTTTCATAATTGAGAAATAATTATTCATAATGCTAAAGAAGTCAGATCTTCAAGAGGAAAGCATGTGGTCTCTTGCAAAGAAATAGTGTGCTAAGCTTCAGCCCCTGGACGCTTCCTTTTTCAAAGTATCTGGGCTTGTTCACTGTCAGGCAATGTATGTCAGGATATTGGCAATCCTTCAAGGAAATCATTCAAAGGGTGATTTACAATTGGCTGGTGCTATTCCCCAGAGCCCTTTTCACTTATGTCCTATTGTACGGAAACAAATTAAGGACATTAAGCCAGAGGATAAACGTACCACTCAAAATACACACAGGTACTCCATGCTCAAGTCAAAAGCCACAGGAGGCGTCAAATAGAATTCCTTGCCTACCTCTTTAAATACTAACACCCTGAGAGTTCACGTGATTTTTTTAGGTACAAAATTTAAAACATGGGCAAAAATGTCCATATTGGAACTTGCCTCATTCTGGATACTGGAATCCAATCCTCCTTGGTCTCCTTTTCCCATGTCCTCTTCCTATTTTATTAAATTAAGTCAGATCCTTTAAAAAAGGGATCCTAAAAAAAAAAAAAACTCCTCCAGCCAGGCATGGTGGCACACACCTGTAATCCCAGCAACTCCAGAGGCTGAGGCAGGAGGATCATAAGCCCGATCAGGGCCAGCCTTGGCAATTTTTCGAGGCCCTCGGCAACTTAGCGAGAACCTGTCTCAAAATAGAAAATAAAAAGGACAGAGGATGTGGCTCAGTGGTTAAGCTCCCCTAAGTTCAATCCCCAGTACAAAAAAACCAAACCAAACCAAATTCCCCCACAGGTAGTTTTTCTAAGAGATGCTCTATAAGTTACAACACAGACCTTGAAAGAGGGCAAAGGCTGGAACATTCGTCTCAGTTTTAATTTCGGATATTTAAGCACTTGAACTCATATGTGTATTTTTTTTAAACTTTATTACACTCTCTATGAAATTCACTTAATGACATCATAATTTAGGCACTTTGAATGAATCACACTTCATAATGATATGAATACTATTAACCTTCCAATCTTTATTATTAGTAGTATCTTTATTAATTAATAGTGGTGATAAATTTTTCAGTTCTGCACGTGGGCACACTATCCCTTTACCTGGATTGTACATTAAATTTTCAAGTCATTCTTAACCAAAGGCTTAGAAGCAGACAGGAAAAACAATTGGTTGCAGGCAAATTAGCACGTTAATTGAAATACGATCCTATGTATTGCGCTTATGCTAATGGAAAGGAGAGAAGACCCAAACTTCTAATTCTCTTCCAACAAGGGAGAAAAAAAAAGTAATGGCTGTGACAATATGGATCTTTGCCCAATAGCTTACATATAGTAGGTGGTCAATGATCACTCAGGGATTACATGAATGAAGGCATAAACAGCAACCAAAGACACTGACAAAGTCACAAAGACAAACCTCGACTGATGGCATTTTGTTGGATTTTGTAATCTGATTTCAAAAACGATCATTTCTTATTTTGCTCTATTTAAAAATTGCAATCAATTAAAGGAACATAGAGACCCATATATTATATGTGATACATGCAGTTAGGGTCTCTGTGCTTGGGCAGGTATCAAAGTTGTGCAGGCTAGAAAACACGACGGAGTGCATAACTGTCCCCACATCCTACAATCAGTTTGAAAACACAATTCTGTCCCCTTGGACCCATGGTAAAATCTTGAAGATAACTTCTATCAAACCTGTCTCTTGCTTGTGCAGACTAACTAAAGTTGTGAGATTCAAATATTTTAAAAATCCCGATTTATTATTGCTGCTAGCCCTCAGATTCAGCACCATACCAGAAAAATATAAAAATCACCTCCGTCTTCAAATTCTACATTCTTAGAAATGGTTCCCAGGAAGTGGCAATGATGAATGAGGCTTAACGGTTTTCTGACTGCAAGCACTTACAGGATTTATGAATGGAAACATGTGAAGGCCACCCTGGCCAGCTCTGTAGCCCCACACTTTCTCCCTGGGTTATTTATAGAAAGCGTATGGCCAGTGGAAAAGATCACATTTATTTTTACAAGTCATGACAAGACCAAAGAGCTCCACTTCCTCTCCCTGGGAAGGTCACCCTTTTCACCTGAGCTGCAAGAAGGGCAGAGAAGAAAGGAAACCTTTTAAACTACTGAGTCAGCCTGAGTCAGCCCCAGGGACCCACCCACCGGTGACAGGCACAGAAGTCAAACATCCTCTTCTCCCAAGAATGACTCTATGGTGCTGCTCCTTGAGATGTCATCTAGATCATGACTAACAAGTAAAAATAAAAAGCATTACATAATATGCTGCAAAATTCTACTGCCAGAGTAGATTGTGCAAAGATAATGGAGTGAATTCTTATTTATAATTTGTCCTGTATTTTGAACAACTGAGCATAATAAAGTGAAACTGAATTTTAATAGATGTGGCAAAATAAAGAGTGTGAAAAAAATGTTTTTAAAGATGTTTTATTCTGATTGCCACGTTACCCTTGAAATGTGCAATATACATGGATAGTTCCATGCAAATGTGGAGACTCAGTAAACATTTGCTTCTAAAATAGAATTGTCTCTCCTAACAGAAATCTGATGTCATTTAGCAAATAACACAGATAAACAAATTGTTCCTGATCTTAGCATATGTGGTACCTGTTTGCAAACATGACATGAAGTCCAATCACTGTTGTCAACTAGAATGTCCTCCTTTACTGGTACGTGTGGTATATAACATCTAAAGTGGAATGGGGAGGGAAGGACACGGGGGAAGGAAGAGGCAAAGGAAAGAGGAAAAGGAGTCCTGGTTCTCTCTGGAACAGACTGGGCAGTTTAACCTTCCCAGGGAAAAGTGTGTCATCTCACTGGCTCATGCATCATAATCACTTGAAAATGATAGGGGTATAATTTTATCCCTAAGTGGCCCTTGCTTAAGGACAAAGACACAGGGCAAGAAGAGAATTCTGTTTGTGGATCCAGAAAATCTCCAACAAAAAATTTAAAATGATAAATGCCAGGATTGTTCTTATTCTCAAATCCATGGATCCTTTTCAGAAGTCTCCCTCCTTCTGAAAGGGAGGTCCCATTTGACAGGGGAGCTGCAAGATACTCTTCAACCTGTTTCTCTAGTTTCCGAATCAACATTCTTTGGGGCTCTAGAGGAGATGACAATACCATGCAAATAAGTTTGCATGTGGAAATATCCTGATTTCCACAGCTGTCCTTGAACACGTGTATGGAATTAAGTTACAGCTGAGGAATAACATCTGTGCTGAGAACAAATCACCAGCCTTCGTAACTTAACAGGCACTCTTCTTGCACTTTGCAAAGGGGTAGACACTGACACTCCTCTGGAACTGTGCAAAGTGTATTGAAGAGCCCATTAAGAGGTCCTAAATCAAATATAGACCTACATAAATTTGACTTCTGTGTGCAAATTAACACATTCAAGGATACTGGTTCCTCCAGGGAATTGTGCTGAGCTTCTCTGTTTACAATTCTAGTGGCTATTAAAAACACAAACAAAAACAGCAATCTTTCTAGGAGCACCATCCTACCAGTGCTGAGGTAAGTGTTCATCTATTTTCTGTGCTTGATCTAAATTATGCCATGAGGTCAAGACTCTCTATTCACAGACTTATTTGGCTCTTAACCAAAACGACTTACCAAGAGTGTTAAGTATATAAATAAGCTACCTCAGTGGTTTCTGTTAATCGAGTCTGAATAACACTGGCCAATCAGATCATTAGAAAGCATCTTGGGGTGTGTTCATTAATTTTTCAATGATTTAGGGTGACTGCCAATCACTTCCATACCCTGGACCCGGATGACGCTTTAGTATTTAACTGGGCAAGTGTAATCTCATTTAACTCAAAAGTTGCAGTTACTACTTAAGTAATATGCTCCTGTTTTCATAACATAAATAAGTAATACGCTCCTGTTTTCATAACATAAATATTCCTGAATATTACAGTTTTAATTTTAAACAGAGATGGGCAGTGTCAGTGTCCTCTCACCCTCCCCGACATCTGAATTAGGAACTGTGGTCACATTAGTGGGTTGGCTTCTTCTCTCAATAGAGAAGCCAAATGCTCTGCATGCCCGTGTAAGCCACTTCTGGTTCTACCAAACACTCAAAACCAACACCACCTTCCTTCCCTCCTGGGTGGAATGTTAAACCCTGATTTGCAGTAAAGTAAGAAAAGCTTATTCCTGCTGCTTTCCTGATGCAAGAAACTGTGTCTGAGGACCAGTCATTTGGGCATTGCTTTAAAAGGCACATTTATTCCAGTGGCAATTTAAACAAATAGAGAAGAAAAGAATAAGATTAAAAACAAAACAAACAAACAAAAAAGCCAGGATGGGTTTTGTGGAATAAAGTAAATAGGAATCTGGGATCTCTATAAACCACTTGAGCGCCTCACCAATAGTCTAACCAGAGTCCCTAAGGTAGTCATTCACAGTTGTATCTTGACACTCCTAGGCCTTCAGAAAACACTGTTTAAAAAAGTAATTGAGTACTCTCAACCAGCTTGCCCTGATGTCCAGTTCAAGTTTGCAATGCAAAAGGCTACAAAATTCAAAACTATGTGACAAAGAAAATTCAGTGCATATCACAGGCTTTGATAAGTTATGCAAAATCATCATATATATTATTATTTAAATAACATCTGAGAAACGTATTCAAATAATTAACTTGTGTTCACATTCCATGCATTTTCTAGCAGGTTAAGCCCTGGGTTTGTGTCTTTGTGCCCGTTTCCTACAAAGCTCCATTCTTTGACAAATCCAAGCATTCCTCAGACTGAAATGGAAGTACCCAGGGATTCTCTCTATTTATCCTCCTTATTGCATACCTGACCTCACAAAGGCTTCTTGTTATCACCACTGACACAGAAGACAACTGGAAAAGCAAACTGGGGTTTTATTTGGGATTTTATTCTCTGTCTTTGCAAAATCTCCAGATGTCAAAGACACCACCTGCCTTTTTTTCCAAGGGCAAGAACTATTGTGGCCCTCTGCCTCCTATTTGATCCCTCTCTCTTCCTTTTCCTCAGCCCCAAGTGGGCTAGGATCCCCTAGCAGCAGTGGACCTTTCCCTTGTGGTTTTGCAGCACCCTCCTTGAGCAAAGAAGGAAACACAAGAAAACTTGAAAACAAACCAACAACAGCAACAACATAAATTCCAAACAAACAGGCGGGCAAACCAGTAGCCTCCTCCATGGCGGAGGCTCACTTTTTACTGTAGAATTCGGGGTTGTTTAGGAACTTCCTGATGACCAACCCTAAGCAAACCACCAACAGCAGCATGTAGCCCACGGTGCCCGAGAAGGTGGGCGCAGCAGGTGGGGCCTGGAGGAACTGGCGCAGGCCCTCCTCTACGTAGTACACCTGGTCATAGATACTGAGGAAGGTGAAGATGTGGAAGAGCTGGTGGCTGTGGCCGATGATGTCGAAGAGGCCTGGCTGGATGCGCTCGGGGATCTTGCTCACGTTGAAGAAGGCGGCCACCACCAGCCAGAAGTAGCGACGGTAGAAGTGCACGAAGAGCGTTGGGTTCTCGCCACGCAGGTCGAAGAGCCAGCTCTCCAGCATAATGGGGCAGGCCATGCTGAGCGGCATGATGAAGACGAAGGTGCGCAAGGCGAACGGATAGGCGCACCAGTCGGTGCGGCTTTTGCAGCAGGCCACCGTGCATGCGACAGCCAGCACGAAGGCCACCGGCAGCACCAGCGCTCGGTAGACGGCAATGAGGCGTGTGCAGTCCACGTGCCAGCCGAGGCGCTGCTGCACATACGGGGTCATGACTCTGGCGTCCAGCAAGCTCAGGCCTGGCAGCAGATAGTAGTAGTAGGCCACTGTGCTGCCGAAACCATAGTAGCTGATGGACGCGTAGTCCAGGTAGAAGAAGGCGGCGCGCAGGCGCAGCGACAGGCAGCTGAACACGTGCGCCGTGCAGCTCATGGCGAAGGTCAGCAGAACACCCGACGCATAGCACCACAGGGGCAGCAGCCACGGGTGGTGGAAGGGCACATCGCGGCCGCTCAGGAAGAACAGGCGACAGAACTTGCTCAAGAACAGCAGCAGTGGGATGAAGTGCGTCCAGAAGTTGAGCGTCTCATTGGTAGGCTTCAGCACCGAGGCCAGACACTCCTGCGCCGTGCATGGCAGGCGCCGGTAGCCCGACAGGATGAAGCACTCCACGAAGTCGTCGGGGACCTCGTCCCAACGCAGTAACTGCTTGGCAGACGCTGGGAGGTCCCCGGAGGCTGCAGGATGACAATGCCGGTTGGCCCCCGAAGCTCCGGCAGCCGTGGCGGGAGGGCCCTTTGTGCCCGTGACCCGGGGCTGCAGGCGCCGCGGCATGGTGCTCGGGGCTCCACTAGGACGCCCGCAGGCGAGCTCTGGCGCCGGCTCCCGCGCGCTAGGCAGCCCCGGCCGGTCGCCGTCGGGGCCTTTGTGCCCGCTCCGGGGGCGTTGCTGCAGGTTCAAGACCAGACCCGATCCTCCGAGTAGCTGCTCCTAAATAAAAAAAAAAAATAGAATCATAAAACAATCAGTAGGCAGCGCGGCGACCGGCAGGAGCGCGCGAGGCTCGGCAACCCCCTCGCCGAGCTCCCTGCTACCCGCGCGCGGCCGCCCGCGCTGCGGCAGCGGCAGCAGCGGCGGCGGCGGCGGCGCGGCGGACTGCGGCGGCGGCGCTGCTGCGGTGACTGGGCATCGCGCGGTGCGGGCGCCTCTGCCGCCGCCCCCGGAGCGAGAGGCGGGGATGTGAGAGCCGAGGCGCTGGAGGGAGGGAGGGAAGGAGGGGGGGCGCACTGAGGAAGGGCGGGGGCCTCCCCGGCTAGGGTTTCGCGGCCGCCGCGGGGGATAGAGTTGTCCCCAGTCTCGAGTTCCGTACCATCCCCCTTCTCGGGCCTCCGCAGCCCAGGCCGACCCGTTAATGATTGATGCGGGGGCCAAAGGCTGGCTTGCGGCTCAGCCGCTCCGGCCGAGGGTGAGGGTCGGCTCTGGGATTCGAAACCCGACAGCCACGCGGGCGTTCTAGAGGACACTGGGGAGCCGCGTTCTCAGGGGGCGGGGAGCTGCGGGCGCTGGGGAGGGGAGGGACTGCGCGCCCGGGCCCGCGCGGGGCGGAGAGATGCGCTGACAGTCATCTCCCGAGGTGGCCCGCGAGGGGACATTGCGGAGATCGGGGACGCGGGGCGGGGGCTCTGCTACCGGGTCCGGATCCGAGCCTTGTCATTGTCAGATACCTGGTGCTGCTTCTCTCTCCCTGCCCCTCGCTCATCCTTGCGTGCGTGCGTGTCGGCCTTTCACTCCAAGCACTACACCGAGCCTTATATTTATCCCCTTTCCCCTAGCGGACTTATTCAGGTGCGTCACTATCCTCCTATTTCCCTCACCCTTGTCTTGTCCAGAGGAACCGTCCCCAAACTAGCCTCCGCTCGTGCTCACCGGCCATTGGAGCCACAGCTCACCCATCTTCTTGCGTCTGTAACTAGGATTCTTGTTTGGAGCCCCGAGTCCGGCAGCTCAGGACCGGTTGCTGGAACCTCCGCATTTTAGTGAAAAACTTCACATGACGACCTGGCGATTCAGAAAACGTCTTAGGATCCGAGGAATTTATTAAGAAGGGATTCCCAAGCAGAGCTGCGCCCGAGTCAAGGGAGGGCGTGGATGAAAGAAGACCTCAGGGAGCAGGTGCATTCTAGCACGAATTGAAGAGAGAAAGCAAGATCATTTCCTAGAGACATGGCAGGCTTGGGTAAAACTTATGCATAATTAACCAGGAGTACCTGGCAGGATAGGTTGGATGGCTGGAGGCAAGAACAAAAGATTCGAAGACTCCAAGTGATTTGGAAAGATGCCTTGACCCTTGAAGAAAGAGGGTCTCAAAAACCTGTGTGTTCTAAAAAGTTCAACATGTAAGTTTCTCTCAGTGATACCCTGGGGGTATGGCTGGGTTTAACTGATCTCTAACCTGTGGTACAGGCGACAATAAGCACTAAGCACCTTATAGTTTTCAAATCTTTTAGGTATCATGCATCCCATTTTACAGAAGAGGAAATGGGGGCACCCTTGACCATAAAGAACAGGCCTAAGTGGTAGAAGGGGAACCTGAACCCAGGTATGCTGTTTCTAGATTTCATGTATTTCAGCTGGAACATCCAGCAACCCGTTTTACTCAAAGGAAGAAAGGAATGATTTAGGAAAAGCTTTCAGTTTTCGTTTTTAAGTTCATTTCAAGAATAAAAGGCTACCTTCCTAACTACAGCAAATCCTGTAAGTAAATTAAGGAAGATTTACTTAGGAGAGGCTCAAGGTGGCTTTAAGATATGGATAAAAATTATTTATAACTGGGATATCATTCTGTATTGTAAATGAATAGAATTACTTAACAGTCTCTTTAGAAGTGTTGGCCTTCTCTCTGAAATATTTTCCACTAGTAATTGATTTAGCAAACTCTTACACAATTAGGCCAAAGGCAAACTCTGGTCTTGTGTCTGACCTAGCACACATTCCTGATTAATGGATTTTAATAAATAAGGTTTGCTGCAGTTATTTAACCAGTATTTTCTTTTAGTGTTCTCTGGTTTCCCACTGTCTGTTTTAAAGTGAAATCTAATTTCCTTTCACATCTGGACGGAGGGCCCATGCTAACTTGCTAACTTGTGAAAGGGATTAAGACTCAGGCACTTAATTCAAGCCTAGGAATGATAAACCTAAATGCAGGGCAGACAGGGAAAAAAAATTTCTTTTCATGTTCCCTTTGTCACTCCACAAACAGCCTAAGCTGTAGCCTGTAAAAAATGTTGATCTTATAATAATTCCCACATTTAGCAACCTCTTTGTTGCATGATCAGCTCACTTACATAATTGGAAAAAATACAATAAAAAGTTCATTTCAAGCAAAATAATGGAATTGGCTGTAAATGAGTGTGCACCATCTCTAGCTAGATAAAATAACATTTATCATTGCATCTAAGAATGGCAGAATGGATTCTTAATAAAATATAGTGTTCTTTTAAAAAGTCATTATTTTATAAAGTCAAACAACACCCTGTCACAACATTCTTGTAAGTGATCACAAATCCTTCATGGTCTCTGCCTTTCTCCTTTCTCATATATCCTTGCCCCGTGGGAGGTGCAAAGTCAAGTACAGCCACGCAGTGAGAGGTGTTCATGAACATTCACTGTGCAGAGCCCAAACAGCTAACCTTGCTGTATCTTGACAAAGCTAAGTAAAAAGGAATAAAGGAAACAGCACAAGTGTTCTAATTATAAAAGTTTTTCATTATAAAATAGCAATCTGATTTTTTCCTGAATTAGTACCCATCTATAGGGTTAATGTCTCTTAATTTTTAAAATTGTGATATAAAAATGTGTTCCCCACCTCCCACCAATGCTGGGTTTTGTAGTTTGTTTTAATTCCAGTAAACTGTCTGCCTCTTGTCAGTGAGAACCAGGCTTGAGTTGCTGGGTTTGGCTGAACAGATAGAAGCAATGTGCTGGCTGCCACCTCCCGCCCCTCAAGGTGTGTGTGGAAAGCCAGTGCTGGAGTCTGGTCACAGAAACCAGCTCGTGTTCTCAATGGAAAGCTTGCCAAATGGAGGTTGCAAACGTGGTTTTGGTAGTTCTGTAGAAATTTTGTACATCAGCGTCCTGTGGGGCCCTGGCTGCAAAATGCAATCATATGTTGGCTGTGTGGCAAACTGGATAAACGCTTTTTCTAATCTGATTTGCTTTAGCAACTTTCTTCTAGACCAGCTATCGGTGTCTTTGTGGTTCTCTCTAATGAAATGAAGCATATATAAAATTTCACAGTAAATTTGATGTTTTCTAATAAGGACAATTAGTGACCTGTAAAATCTGCAGAAAAACATGCCAGTTGCTAATAAGACACCTATTTTCCAGAGGAAATAACTTTTTAGTCTCACGTTAGCCAGAAAACAATGAGCCAAGCAAGTAAACAATAAACCACAATGGACCTAGGAGTTAATTGCACGCAAGAATCTTTAGAAAGAGAACTCAAGGGTTCAATCCCTGTCTTCAGAATATACAGTCTCAACAAAATGCTTCTCTTTTCTCCAAGTTGAAAGTAGCCATGATAGTGTCCACCACACTCTCCCAGGTCAGACAGGGTCACAGCCAAACAACAGGGCATGAGCTCCCTAGTGGTAGAAAATCTTATGGCATCAGAAGTGACTGTGACAATCTTTGGGGACAAGTGTGATTGGAAAGTCAGGGAGGGGGGCTGGAAACTGGAGAGAAAATGCTATTCTTGCCTGTTCCCTGTTTCTCTCTTGAAGAAATGCTAAGGAAGACTGGTTGAGGATGTTTTTTCCTTTGAAGTCTCCATGTAGTGTCAATGTCACATGCCCCAACCTCGGCTCATTCTCCTTTTTTCTACCCTGGGTCTCTGAAGTGGGCGCACAGGAGACTAAGGTGAAGAATAAAAGATTACAATTTCTGTGTAAGTCTCATCAGTTTCAATATGAAGCTTTAGTATGTAGTCCATGGGGGTAATTGATAGGCAATAAATTGAGGCCCAGGGAAGGGTCAAAACACTTTGAGAAGGGTGGGTGATGGGAATTGTTTATTGACCTCTGCTCCATAGTCCATTGCCCTTGTTTGTACAGTATCAGAAAGTAGCATATAATTAATAAACAAAAACAGCTCCGTGAATAAGAAGAGTCAGACTAGAGGATTTTAGGAACTAAGTGGTCTTCCTATTCTAAGATTCTAGGATTTTAGGTTCTAACCTTTGAAAAGCTTATTGTGATGATTAAAAAAAAAAATCCCAGTCACAACGGGTTGGGTGTTTAGTATGCACAACAGATGGTGACCCCCCAAACCTCTTCCAGTGACTTGAGAGTCAGGAGGGGGAATCCACCCTGGACCTGGGAGAGAGGTGGAGGCAGCTGGACAAGGTGGCAAGGTGAACACACTCTCCCCATTTTCAGGCCCCAAGAAAACGAAACAGGCACAGAGAGGTTCAGCAGCCCGGTGGCAGAGCCGGAGTCCAGTGCTTTTCTTTCCAATCCCCTCAACCTTTCCTTCATAGGCACTTGCTCCTGAGAAGCTGTTACGTAGCTTGCCTTGAACATTTCCAGTAAAGGGACTTATCCTTTTCCATCATAAGTTTTTTTCTTTTATCATTGTCGCTATTGGAAAATCTTGTTAATAATTAAAGGAGTGCTATTGATGAGAAACACACACTGTTGCATCTTGGCCCAAAGGTCAGCCATAAGGGTTATTGAGTCTGCGTGTGGTTAGAAAGTTCCCCAAAAGAACCATGCCAGATAGAGCAGTTGCACACGTGGAAAGTGACCCTGGATGTGATTAGGTACGTTTAGTATAACAAGTGTCATCGTCTAAAGGAGGAACATCTGTTGATCCCAGAGGCTTGCTGCATAGAGGCAAAGAGCAGATTCTGTGATTTCACAGATAATCTTTGCATTTATCACAACATTATCAATTAGAGCAGCTGACTGGTACAGGAGGGAAGTATCCTGTTACCTCATCACACACTTGACTTCGAGGGGAGGGCATCTCTGTTACGGGGTTCAGCTTGGGCCTCAATGAAACTTGCTTGTCGCTGGTTCTGTTTAGTTCTATAATGTAATGATGTTTCTTCTTCTTTTTTTTTGAGGGTTAATATCTATTTGTTGAAAATATTTGTGAACATAATTATCTAGGTGCCAATCACTAGACTAATAGAGGGTGTTGTATGTATCCTAGGTGGATTGATTGTTTTAAGAGTGTGTTTCGGTGACCTTGTGTTCATCTGGAGCCCCATTTGTGTCCAAACCATAAGCATTTGGGGAGACCGATGTGTCTTATCAGTACACTTAAGTCATTTCTCCACATTGAACAAGGACAAATGTTCTAGGAAATGCTTATTCTCCTGGTCACCCATTGGCATGCTTCCTTTAAGCCTTGGGTTCTGGGAAGTTGGGTCAAATGGATTTGGTGGTGGTGTGCTCTTGATCCCTCCATTGCTGCCCTGACCAACCTCAACTGGAGCCACTCCATTCTCATACCCACCTAATTCCTTGTCTAGACACTTCCTGGCACTGGGGAGGGCTTACTGGGTGGATCCATGGTGAGCATTTGGGAGATAGTCCCCAGTTGTGTACTTAGCAGGCCCTAATCAGCACTAGGGGCACAGAGATGGATCTAGGAACCCCAGGTGTAGAAGAGCAGAGGAGTGAACTGGAGCACAGTGGAGCCAAATCAGAATTGTTCTTGCTCTCCACTGGAGGGGCAATGGCTCCGCCATGTTTAAAGGCAGCCCTTTTGTGAGAACTCACTGGGTGCAGCCGTTTTGAAACTGGGAACTGTAATGCTGCCCTGAATGCCATTAGCTTTGGATGTTTTTACTCTGAAGTAATGTGCTCTACAGACACCTGCACCCCTAGCGCTGACCCCCATGGGAATGGGGTCAGGGCTGGGGTGAGGGTTAAATGCCATCTGACAAATGAACCAGGAAAAACTAAGTGTCACGAGACATCTCCACACTTGTCTTTGGGAAAGCCATCAATCCTGGAGGATGGTCTGCCTATCCCTTGGCGCCCATCTCATATTCACTGATTTCTCCTTTGTACTAACAATGTCCTTGCTCGATTACTTGTAATTAGCAAATGGGGGTGGATGCTGGACAGTGGATCTTTCTTTCATTTCTTCTTTAAATTGCATGGACGGCCAACTCCTGCATTCAGCAGGCTTCCTGATTATACTAACCTGGTTTAATTTGGTGTATGTTGGGAGGGAAGGGTGGGAATGGATGGCTCTGTGGGCCACAGTTCCATCCCATACTCCCAGCTCCAGAGTGCGTTGAAATCTTCAGTTAGCATTTCTAATAGCGTCCTCAGTAATGAGCATGCTTTATACCTGTGGACATCAAATTCAACCCCCACTTAGCGGAGACCAACTAACACAGGTCTGCCAGATGCAAACACAACATAATACTTTGTTTTCTCAAATTCTTTTAAAAAAAATTTAACATTAAATCATTGGATATGGAGTTGTCAAGACGTTCGTCAGACATTTTAAACAATTCAGAAATAAGGCAGAGAAGAAAAGCCTTTCACAAAGATAGAGATTTCTTATGAAAGAAGGGATGATGAAAATGTTTTTTAGTTAGATTTTTTTAAATATAAAAAATATTAAGTATCAGTTATTTATGCTGGGCTGTTTTGGCTTGGCTGCACAGAACACATTGCTTAGAAAAGACCAGCAAGGGTACAAATAAAGGAAGGGTTAGAAAGGGGGTGGAGGGGTTTTCCCTGTATGAGACAGGCATGGGAAGAGCCAGCCTCAAGTCCCCATGTTGGAATGTTCCTGTCACTAGGGTTGATGTGATTTTAAAATTCTACAGCAGCATCATAGTTGGTGGCAGAAAACCGTCCCTCTTTTGGGAGATGGGAGGGGGAACCCCGTGGAGGGACTGACTTGACATTTGTCCTTCACGGTTGGTGGTGCTTAGTTATGGTAAGAAAAGGATTATTTTTTAAGACTGTGATTGCTCATTACTGCTCTCCCTCATTCTGACCTCTCCTCTGACAGCACCAGCCTTTCTGAGGTTCTGCTAAGTCCCAAGCATGTGCCGCTAGGAGAGGCTCCCTGTGGCTGTGTACAGGCTGGCCTCTCACAGTGGCCCAGCTGAGGGCAGAGGGGCCTGGTCGGTAGCCCATGCTCTGTCAGCCATGCTCACAGCCTAGACGTGTGTTCTTTCCCCTGAAGAATAAGCACCTTTTACTGCTTCATTGGTGGACTGACAGCTGCCCCAGGGCCCTTGCACTCTCTGTTTCTGTTTGCCTCCCTCTGCCTCAACTACTTTTCTTTCTGACATTCTCCCTTTATTTAGTCCTCTGCTCAACATTGCCACCTCCCAGAGACCTTGCTGTCCACCCTGACATGATAGTGATGGGGTTCCTCTCACTCTGCCCCCTCACCCTGCTTTATATTTCTCATAGTCGCATTATCTGACATTATATAATATGTGATGTATTATATATTTCTTTCTTTCTCTTCTCCTGAAATGTAAGCTCACTGCCTATCCACAGCTCCCATCAGAGTGCCTGACACTTAGGAAACATTCGTGGAATAATTAAAAAGACTATCCCTAAAAGCTAAGCCCAGAGTCAGGCTCAGTTCAGAATATGTGTATTGATGCTGCTCAGGCAGAAGCATCTCTAATGAACTGACCTCCACAACCCAGAAGTACTGACCCAGAAATAGAAAACACAGAAGCCATTGGCTGTGAATCTCTTGTAACGAGGGCAGTGGCTTCTGCACTAAGATCAATCACTGGGGGACCTTCAAAACATAACATCATCAAAAAAGGGTGCTGGCCACATCCTCCACCCCTGCCTGGCGGAGCCTTTCGGAGCAGGCGCGTGGAATTGCAGGACTAGTCATTTATCTGGAAGGAAACCACCTATAACATGGCCATGAGGGTGAGAAGGAGTAGCAGTGTTTGATTTGAATTTTAAAGGTCAATTCTAACAAAGTCGTTTGTATCAAAGAGAATTCCTCAAATCTCTTCTATTAATAGCCTCATTTAGCACCCCTGGCAGCTCAGCAGCTCTGTTTAGGATTCTGTCTCACCATGTTTTCACCTTTACTGAAATAGAGAAGCAAATGTCAAGGCAGATACGGTGCCACAGAGGTATAAAAATATTATGCTCCGGGCCTATGGCCTGAGCTTTGGGCACTTAGCAGATTCTCCCCCTGAAAGGCTGTTTTAAGATGCTTGGAGTTTTGCAAGTGCCCTAAGAGCCTTGGAGACCACCACATCCTGGTTTTTTTGACCCATTGGTGAGAGCATAGCTGAGCAGGCAGCTGCTAAAACGGTAGTTTACACAGAAGCCACTAACAGTCAGGTGGCACGTTTCACAGGGACACAGAGCTCTAGAGCAAGCACCATTCCACAGGAAGAGTTGGGGGACAGCCGGCCTCGGTGTATCCAGCATCTTCTCTTTGTGTCCTCTCTGGAACACAGCAGCTCCTGCAGGTGCCACGTGACCTGACAGCCTCCCAGAGAACTGTCCGAAGGCAGAATCCAGCCCAGCACCACCTGCAAAGGCTCGGGAAGGAAAAGATCTCTAGGAAACTTGGGTGTGGGAGGATGGAGGAAGATTTGAGTTTGGCTCCATTGCCATTGGGCGGAATCTGAACATTAGATGGCTTCTAGCTTGATTGAGGTTGGATTTCGCTTCACCTAATGTGCTCAATAAGAAACTCAGGGAAGTGTGGTCTTGCATTTTTAAAAGCAGTGGTTACGTGTCTGTGTGCAGTGACACAGGAAGGTTGCAGATGGGGGCAGTTCCTGGAAAAAGAACAACTTATGCCTAATTGCCTGACCTTTTCTGGGGGCGGTTATTCAGACTGCAATTCTTCCTCTCGTTTGCATTCTGCAGGTTTCTTTGGTGACAGAGTCTGTGATGATATGATTTAGCTCTGAGTGCAAAAAAATAGAGCCAGATGCATCTCCTCCACCACTCTGTTTTGCACCTTCAGATCCCACTCCCTGAGTCCTGTCCCAAGAGGACCTCCTTACTGCCAGTCAATCCTGCACCCAGGGTGGTGGCCAGTAATGGTTCTACCTGACTTTCCCCAGCAGAGAGCTGTCTGTCAGAAAGGATTCTCTTTCCTGTACCTGGGGCATTCTGTGCTTGTTTCTTCATGTGACAGCTAGAAAATTTGGCTGTGTGACCAATCCTGGCCCTTTCTCCTCTTCTCTCTGGGGAAGAGGTAACTGCCTGGAATTGTGTCACGCAAGGACCTGTGATGGCCTCTAAGGGGTCTGTAAGTGCAGTGGAGGCCCGTTTTGTCTATTTCCCTTGCACCTTCTATTCCTTCCTATTGTGCAGCTTTTTAAGTTCAACTACTTCATTTTACAGATGAGGGAGACCAAAGCCCAGAGAAATGAAGATGTCAGGGACACTCTGCTGGGTCTATGACTCTCAGTCTGTGCCTTCTCTGAGACTGCAGAGGGTAGGTACACAGTGAAAGGTGGGTGAAAGAGCCCTGGCTTCCAAGTCAGATTTGGCCAGGTTTGAAGTCTGACTTTGTCATGTACCAGCTATGTGACCTTGGGTGAGCTGTTGAGCCTCTCTGAGCTGCAAAGGAAAACCACATGGCTCTCCTCCAAGATTGTTGTGAAGACTGATGTCTAAAAAGTGCCAGCCACAAAAAGGTACCAATAAACGGTAGCCATTTCTGTTATTCCTATGTCCCCATTATGTGAGGCGCAACAAACTCAATGGAAATATCATGAAACACCAACTTAAAATGGTAATTTTCAAGTGTGTTCAACTTTTTTTTTTCCTTTTTTTGTGGTGCTGGGGATTGAACCCAGGGCCTTGTGCATGTGAGGCAAGTGCTCTACCAACTAAGCTATATCCCCAGCCCGTATTCAACTTGTAATAAGGATTCCTAAAAACAAGAAGCCATTGAAATATAAGGAGGTGAACTTTTGGAATGGGTTGAACGTCTGGGCATTTAGTTAACTGCAGGGGAAGGAAGGGTCAAGTGCAGGCCAGCTCCACCTGAAGGTGCTGGGAGGAAGAACTTGCAGGAGGAGAACTCAAAAGGCCAGCAGTCGGCCTTAGGTGGGGAGGTGGCCATGCATGGCAGGCCCCATCCAGATCTGCTGGAGGAGGATGCAGCACAGTGACCAGAATCCCAGAGGAGCTGAGAAGCATGCATGAACTGAACAGGTGACATCAGTGTGATCTGTCAGGAGGGGATGGGGCTGCAGAACCGGGTCCCCTTATCTGGACCTGGAGGAGCTGGACTTGGGGACAGGCTGACAAATCCCAACATGCAGGCAATTGCTTCTGCTCTTCTCTTGTAAGTCTGTCAAGAATAGCTCTGGTACTTCGAAATGTCAGTTGCCATTTGTTCCAATTTGCATAAAAGTTGTTTTTTTTTTTAAGTGAAGAATTTCTAGGGAAAAAAGAAAAACCCTAGTTACATTCCAAACCATTGGCAATATTCTAACTTCTAATCTTTTAAAGTATACCTACAGACGTTTAATGTAATTACAATCCACGTGTGAATTTCATGTTCTATTTTTAATGTTGATATTTTCATGTGGATATTTCCCTGAAATAGAATAGTATACATCCTTTTTTATTTTAAATACCTCTGATGGTTCATCCGGATCTCCACTGGAAGTGTTTTGAGATGCTAAGAATTTATCCCTGTTACCAATTGTACTATTATGTACTATTACATTTTTTTTTCTTTTAAGTTGTTTCCTTGCTGTTCCCAGAATAGAATGAGGAGACCAAATATGTGAACAGTTCAGTGACTCCTGCTTGGTCGCCCTACCCTGCCCACCTAGGAAATCATGTAAGTCTTTCTCTCTGTATTCCGGCAGGGATCCACCAGACGCTGCTGCCCGCTGCTGACCTGGCCCAGAGACACTTGCGGTAGGTGTTCCATGGGAGCTGTAGCGGGGCCAGCCTCTGCAGAGGGGATCCATGCTGGGGAGCTGACTCATGCTGGCTTCAGCCCAAGGCTGACCTCAGCCCCAGAGAAAAGGCAGAGAGGAAATGCGGCTTCCTTTTCTATTTAGAAAACCTGTGCCTGATGCAGCAGAGGGAGCAGGATGCAAAGTCAGACTGGAAATAGGAATTTCTTATATGTAGCATTAGCAATTACTGAGTATACTGTTATTTAAATATGTTTGTAATTTTTAAAAAATAACCTATTTCTTCAATGAGACACAGAGATAATCAGTTCTTCATTCACCAATTGCACTTCATTTTGTTATTCATGAAGGAAAGCAGTGGAGTTGGTCACACTTTCTGTGCATTTGAAGCCACTAGTGTGTAAGCTCCTGAGTGCAGCAGCCGTCCCAGCACCTGGTGCATTGCGTCCTGTGCAAGAAATAGGGGTTAAATTAATAAATTAATGCATGTGTTCCTAGAAATAGGAAATTTCCAATGAATAAGACAACCCCGTTTCTTTCTTTCTTTTTTCTTTCTTTTTGAACTTGGTACTGCTTACATGTTTATTTAAATTTATATTTGCATATGTGTTGTAGGACTCTAAATTTCACAAAGGAATTTCTGTAGCACCAAACATAGACTTGCTATGCACACATTTGATAATTTAAGCTTTTGTGTCAAAGTTAGTTTCATTCATTTATTCAACAAACATTTACTGAGTGTATACTCAAGGGCCAGCATTGTTCTTCATGGTTGCAGGTTTAGTGCATCAACTACCTCCTTTATTTATTTAAATTTTTAATTGGTTAATTCATGACAGTAGAATGCATTTATGCACATTGATATATCATACATAGATGGGATATAATTTCTCATGTTCCCGAGTGTACATGTTGTAGAATCACCTTGGTCATGCAGTCACATATATACATGAAGTAATAATGTCTGTTTCATTCTACTAACCTTCCTATCCCCACATCCCCTTCCCTCCCCTCTCTTCCCTCTACCTAATCTAAGGTAAAGGTATTCTTCTCTAGTGCTCCCCTCTTATTGTGAATCAGCACCCACATATTAGAGAAAACATTCAGCCTTTGGTTTTGGGGGATTAGCTTATTTTGCTTAGCATGATATTCTCCAACTCCATCTATTTACTGGCAAATGCCATAATTTCATTCTTCTTTAAAGCTGAGTAGTATTCTACTGAAAAAAAAAATTATATATATATATATATATATATATATATATATATATATATATATATATATATATATCACATTTCTGTTTCTTTCTTTACAGGGGACTTTCTATCCAAGCTACATGTATAGCTTTTTAGAAAATAGTTGACAGTGACAGCCCAATATTTAACAGACTTTTAAAATGAACATCAGTCCTGTGCTTTGATGCAGAGACCAAACAACGGGAATTAACTCTGGGAATTCTCTCATGAAGCAGAATTTACTCAGTAATTTCTTGGGAAACTACAGGATGGTTTTGAATGGGGCCCTTGCACTTGTCCCAGCTGAGGGAAGGAAGACCCAGTGAGCCAGCCCTGTGCCCCCAGCTCTATCGCTATGTGGTCTCCCGTGAATTAATCATTAGATAGCACACAGCACTCCACCCATGTCTATCTCCATTTTTCAAAATTATGTTTAACAAATTCCTGAAGAACACTCAAGTCATTTTTCTTCAAAAATTCTATTAAATGTATAACTATGATATGAATAGTACTTTTTTCCCATACCCAGTCCTAACTGCTGTTTATATATAGCTACTGCCTTTTGACATATAATGTATATCTAGCTGTTTTTTTTTTAATTCTTTTACTTGGTATTTTTTTGGTTGACTAGTTTAGGTTTCCTAATTATACTGCCATATCTTTTTCTACCATTCCTTTAACATACTGCTGAATTTGATAATGTTTTATCTAGAAGTGTTTATTTTTTTATTAGTGCATAATAGTTATACATAATAGTGGGGTTCATTTTGACATATTCATAAATGGTTTGAGATGGTAGAGATGACCAAGTGGTACCTATTCCAGAATTATAGTATTTTTTAACATTATAAAATATTACAATAATCTGGACTATTACTAACAAGTTAAAAGTAGAAATTAAGATTATGGTAGCAGGGCTGGGTTTGTGGCTCAGTGGTAGAGCGCTTGCCTAGCATGTGTGAGGCCCTGGGTTCAATTCTCAGCACCACATATAAATAAATAAAATAAAGGTCCATTGACAACTTAAAAAAAATTTAAAAAAAGATTATGTAGTAGATAAAAATGAATAAAGTTAAGTAGGTTTTCTAATAAAATAAATTACAAGTTTAATAGGAAAAGAAGGAAACTATCTTAGCATAGTGAAGACTGAGTTACAGTCAGCAACATCATATATTGAGTGCAAAGTTAAAGCTACTGCCATTACAATCAAGGCAAAGCTGGGGTATCCACGTTCACTACTAGTGCTCAGTATTTTGAAGATTTTAACTTATTTAATAAGATCCCCTGTTCATAAATTTAGCAACTGGTATCAATATTGGAAAAGAGAATAAATGTTTGACAGCATACCTAGAAAATGCAAAACAAACAAACAAACAAACTTCATTTAAAAACAATTAGAATAACTACTTTAGTTCAATTGCTGAATATGATACATATCCCAAATAATTACCTTTTCTTCTATAATTACCTATTATATGGGGAAAATATTCTATTCACAAAAATAACAAAAATCATAAAATAAGTCATGAATGAGTACAAGAATCATATTAAAAGGAAACTCTAGCATTTTATCAAAGGATCAAAATAAATGGAATATTATATTACGCATAGGGAGATGAATATGTAAATGTATAAATGTCAATTCTTAACATATTAAAACTCACATTTAATGTAGTCCAAGTCAAAACATGCAAATATGTACTTTTTTTGGAACTGGACAAATGTTTTAAATGTTTATGTGGAATAAAATGTGCAAATTTTATTGGGTAGGTTGAGAAAAGTAATGAAAGAATACTTGTCTTACCAGAGAGAGAACAAAACCTACTATAAAACTACTAAAATCAAAACAATTTAGTCATGACACAATGGTAGTGGAATCCAGGGGACCTTATTTGAGAATTTGTATCATGAAATTTGTGTTTTGGTTCAACGGAAAAGGATGTATACTCAGTGGGGTTGCAGAATTAACTGTTCATCTGGATATTTAGGAGAAGAAGATCCAGAGTAAAAATTGCTTGAGTTTAAATCTCAGTCTTACTTTAGTAGCTGAGTGAAATTGCCTGATTCCTTAATCTCTTTGATCCTTTATGTTCTTGTCTATGTGAAATATATAAAGTATTTGTAGAGTCTCCAGAGTATAGAAGTCTTTCAGTAAATGGTAGCTAGTTTATTGTTACTTCTTATTATTTCTTCACACTACAGAAAAAAAATTCTAGACAGATTGAAGATCTAAATTTTAAACAGAAAACACAATAAGAATAACAGAAGAAAATATCGGGGCATATTTGTGAAATCTCAGTTTGGGAGAGACTTGAAAAATACAATGTCTTCCAAAAAAAACTTCCTCAGCCATGAAGAAAAAATAATGATGTATCTGACAACAAAAAACTAGAAATTTCCTCCAGGCAAGAAATAATAAAGTCTATATAGGACAGACAAGAAATTAATATCTTCACATTATGAAGAACTCATCATCTCTTGAAGAAAACAGGAAAACGGGAAAAGAAAAATGGGCACAGGATGTGAATAATGCTTACAAATGAACTTCAAATAGCCAATAAATGTAAGAAAAGATGCTCAATTCTGTTAGAGAAATGCAAATCACAATAGAAGTAAGCTATTGTTTTAAAATCCATCATATTGACAAAATATTAAAATCTGCTGATTTATAAGACTACTCCCATGGTGGGTGGTGGGCAGGGGGGAGGGGGAACCAAAATGAAAATAATCCAGAAGTTTCTCAAATGAGGAAATGGATGAACAAGTCACGGAATATTACAGAGTTCTACCAAAAAATAAATGACCTGTGTATGTATTGGCATCGAGTGGCAAAGGCAAATTCCAGAGTAATGTGATAATTAACATTTATTGAACATTTACACCTTGTACTATGGTTAGGATGTGGTTTGTCCCCTAAGGGTTCATGGGTCAGAGGTTTGGTCTTCAGAGAGGTGTTTGACCTTTAAAAGGTGGGACCTATTGGGGAGTTCTTAGGTCAAGGGGGGCACTGCTATCAGAGGCATTAAGGTGGTTATTGTGGGACCCCAGTCAGTTCCCACAAAGGGAGTTGCTATAAAAGCATGAGCTGGACCCTCGCATTGCTGTCTGGCTTCCTGTGACACTGAATTCTCCTGCTTGCGTGTGCTCCCATCCCCTACCCTGTAAGACCACCAAGGGCACCCTCTTCAGAGGCTGGCCTTTCAGCCTCCCAAACTGTGAGCTAAATAAGCCTCTTTTATTTATAAGTTATTCAGATATTTTATTGTAACCACAGAAAATAGATTAATATACTATAGTAGTGGGTCTGATGTCCTTGTTAAGCTTTGTTGGGGGGAGTCTCTCAACTTTCCCTGTATTTCTCATCCTGGTGGGTTCTGAGTTTTGGCTTTCTCTGCTTTGTTTATTTGTCTTCCAAAAATGTATAGTCCTTTGGTGGCTTCCTCTCCTCGTCTCTTTAATTTTGAAATTTTTATCCCTGTCCCTTAAAAAAATACGCACACAGTGATGTTCTCTGGAACAGCAGGAGGCAGATGTGCATGTGAAGCTCACTCTCTCCAATAAGAAGCCTTTAATTTCATGTTATTAAATAAGAAATAGGGAGAAAATACACCTGCCTACGTGGGCATTGATTTGTAGGAGGGCAGAGGAAGAGACACAGGAGTTTACAGTTGATCTGACACGTAGGCAGTCTATTGCCCTTGACTGGACAGCCCTGATGATTTTGTTAATAACATGATTTCACTTTACGACTGTGTATGTGACCTGAATCAACCAGGCACTGAATCTATTATCATCGTACAACTGTGTCAGTGTTATTTACTCAAAAAGAAGGCAAAACTCCACCCCTGCTAAAACAGATCATATTAATTAAGGCCTCCAAGTCAGATGGAGCCTTTTAAAATCTGAATAATAGCTAGGAATAAATCATATTGTTTAAGGATTTAAGAGTTCCATTGTATTAGTCAGCTAGGGCTGCTATAACAAAATATCATAGACCAGGTGGCTTAAACCACAGAATTTTGTTTTCTCAATTTTGGGGGCTGGTAGTCCCAGATGGAGGTCTGGTAGGGTCAGTCTCTGGTGAGGCCTCTGTTTCTGGCTTCCAACAGCTGCCACCTTCTCACATAGCAAAGAGAGAGCTCAGGTGTCTCTTCTTGTCCTTACTAGGACACTGGCTCTATTGCACTAGGGACCCACCATCTTCAAATACAGCCACATTCGGGGATTAGGGTGTGAGCATGTGACTTTTGGGAGAAACCCAATTCAGCCCAAAGCACCTGTCCCTTAGATTTCTATGTTACATTAAAAAAAAAATCTATAGAGAAAATGGTAAGAATAGGAAAAGGAAATTACATTTAAATGCACCTTTGTGACATGCTGAGATCATAAGGAGATTTGAAAACTCTCTTAGTCTTCTTAACATGTGTTTGCAAAATTATTTCCTTTGCTTTCTGCTAGGCAGTGTGGTAAGCTCATTAAAAGTCAGGGGAGCAGCGGGTTCCATTATCAGTGCACTAAACCACAGGATTAACAAATATTTTAGCAAAAGCAATCACATTTATTCATGTCCCCATAGGGCTGTGGTCTAAAACAATAAACTTAACCATAATAATTTTATATTCATTAATCAAATAAATCAATTCCTCCATCTACCTTTTCTAGTATACGGCAAAATCACTGATAATAAAAGGGGACAGGGGGAGGAAAAGAAGGATTTTATTTTGAAAAAAAAAAACGATACTGTTAGAAAAAGAAGAAACCCGAAGGTGTGCGAGCAATTAACTCACATTACTTGGCAGCTCATGATCCTGGCAGACTGCAGGCAAAGAGTTAATGAACGTGGTTTACTCCGTTGTTAACCACACTCCAGATTTGGAGGGGGTGGCAGGAATTTAGAACCAAAATACTGGAAAGGCCAGCAGGGACACCAGAAGACAGATGGCAGAGAGAGGAAAGTTTTTTTTCCCATTCATTCACCAAATATAATTAAGTATCTTTTTTTTTTTTTTTTTTTTTAAACCGGTGCTGGGTATGCAACCTGCTAAGGATTTCTTCATTTCACTTCAGCCTGGTCTCTGATGCCTGGTCTCATGTACATCATTGCCTGCTCTCCTGCTTCCCCGAGTTCCCTCCAAGCCATTTTCCATGAAGCAGCCCAGTGATTGACTGATTGATTTCTTTTTTCTTTTTCCTTTCTCTCCCTTCCTCCCTCCCTCCCTCCCTCCCTCCCTCCTTCCTTCCTTTCTTTCTTTCCCTCCCTTCCTTCCTTCCTTCCTTCCTTTCTTTCTTGGTACTGGGGATTACATCCAGGGGCACTTAACCACTGAGCCACATCCCAAGCCCCCCCTTTTTTTTGTATTTTATTTAGAGACAGGGTCTCACTAAGTTGCTGAGCCTGCCTTTGAACTCACCATCCTCCTGCCTCAGCCTCCCAAGCTGCTGGAATTACAAGGGTAAACTACCATACCCAGTGCCCAGTGATCCTTTAAAATGTAATTCGGATAATCTTGATCTTAGAATAAAATCCCAAGTGGCCTCTGAGCCCTACATCTGCCCTGAGGTCCCAGGCTCCTCTCCTGCTTTGTTTCTTGGCCCCAGCCAGAGGGCCTTCTCCCTGTCTTCCTCACTCTGAGCTCCATTCTGTCTTCCAGGCTTTGCCCAGCTACTTTCTCTGCTCTTTGTTTTCTTTAATTATCCTAGAGAAATACATGCACAAGGAAGTACACATACAGATGTTTGTTGTAGCGTTGTTTGTGATACAACAATTGAAAACAACCTCACGACCTGAATCAATAGGAGGGGCCCAGATGCTATGGTTTGTGCCCTGTGCACTTCAGAACATCAGGCAGCAGTTAGGAAGACTGAGCTCTGCACTACAGAGTGTAAATTCATGCAGCGCCTGCAGAAGGCAATTTGACACTGCCTATCAAAATGATCTATGCAATTACACTTTGTGCAGTTTCCCCTTTTACATACTTGCGTGCACGTAAAGGGACATGGGTACGAGGTTCCTCATTGGGGAACTGATGGTAATAGTGGTAAACACTGAAGGCAGCTCAAGACCCCAGCAGCAGGGGCTTGGTGAAGACATGGAGCACTCAGTCCTAAGGAAGGTGCTGCTGCTGTGGAAGGAACAAAGGAAGATTCTCCGATGGATACGGAAAGGCAGTTCCAGGCGCAGAGCAGGGCATGAAATACCCATTTGACGTTTATAACATGGGAGGAAATAAGAATTCAGATTCCTCTTCCTATTCAGTTGAAATGCTCGAGGAATAATTAGTTCTTGTAAAAACAACAAACAACAGTGACTACCTATGGAACTAGAGTGGGGTCTGTGGAGATGAGGGACAAGGAAAACTTCACTGTTGGTCTTTTAATACTTTCTGAATTTTTTAAAAAATTTATTATTTCAGTGCTGGGGATGAAACACTTTTACCTTTTTTTGTACTAGGGATTGAACTCGGGGCACTCTACCTCTGAACCACATCCCCAGTCCTACTTTGTTCTTTATTTAGAGACAGGGTCTCGCTGAGTTGCTTAGCATCTCGCTTTGAACTTGTGATCCTCCTGCCTCAGCCTCCTGAGCCGCTGGGATTACAGGTGTGCGCCACTGCGCCTGGCCTGGCTCTTCTTCTAAAGGAAACCTGATGAGGGGAGGGAATGGAATGGTCCCTAAGACTGACACCAGTCTGGAGATGTCCAGACAGTTTATGGTGCCTGGTCAATCTCAGAATGCGCAGGCTGACGGGGTCTTCACTATCTAATCAATAGATAGTACTGGCTAAATTATAGGTTTCTTGAAATATTGTCTCTTTCTTTATTTAATGGATTTATTGGGGGTTTAGTTAATAGAGCACTGGTAGATTTTCAGGAAATTGGAAGTAACTGCCTGGGAGAGAGACAGGTTTACGGAGTGACAGGCCTGGAAAATAATGTGGAGCTTTTGGAATTAAAATCTTATTTCCTTGTCCTTCCTGTACGTCTCCTTTCTACCTGCCTACTATTTCTTCCATCCCACCTCAGGACTTTCCCTTTAGCTCTATGGTTCAACCTAGTTTTCAATAAGAATGTAAAGACTGGTCGGTTGTGATGGTTATCTTGCTTGCTCGTTATCCCAGCAGCTCCGGAGGCTGAGGCAGGAGGATCGCTAATTCAAAGCCAGCCTCAGCAACTTAATGAGGCCCTAAGCAACTCAGGGAGACCCTATCTCTAAATTAAAAAATATTAAAGAATGGAGGGTTGGGGATGTGCTCAGTGGTAAAGTACCCCTGGGTTCAGTCCCCAGTACCAAAAAGAAAAGAAAAGAAAGAAGAAAGAATATAGTGTGTCTTATTTGTTAGCTAATTGTAACTGAAGGAATACGGATTGCTGGGATTGTTAGCACAAAAAGCCTGGGCAAACTTCATGGATCATTTCAGCCTTTTATTCAGGAATAGGATTACACCTGGGAATGGCCCCACTCTCCTGATGGAAAATGAGCCTCTGGCCACAGGAAGAGTTTGGGCTTATAGAGGTTGTACTGAGAAGTGGTTTAGTGACATGTCAGTTTGGGCACTCAGGAATTTGGGCTTGGGGGTTGGGGGTCTGTGGCCAGCACCTGGAGAGGATTTATCTTGGAAGAGATTAGTGTTTCCCAGAGAAGATGATTCTAGGTTTGATGAAACACCTTCTCCCCACCAGTGGCCAGCAACTGAAAAGGATTTATCTTGAAAGAGATGAAAGCTATCAATATGTGGATTTCTTTTTCACTCCCTTTTCCCAGGCTACACTATTTTGGGGTTTTTCATTTTCCATATCCAACAGGGACGGCTGATTGATGACCACATCAAACGTCAGGTACAGGGAGTGAGAGAGTGTTGGTCTAATCATGCACCACTATTGAGACCTTGAAACCTAGGCTGGTCTGAACTGAGATCTACTCCACATGTGAATACATACACTCAGTTACTAAGATTTGGTTCAAAAAGAAGAATATAAAATGCTTCATCGATAATCTCTAATAGTGACTATGTTGAAATCATTTGGATATATTGTGTTAAATAAAATAATTGTTGAAGGGCTGGGGTTGTGGCTCAGTGGTAGAGCCCTCGCCTAGCATGCAGGAGGCACTGGGTTCGATCCTCGGCACCATATAAATGTAAAAAAAGATATTGTGTCCACCTAAAACTTAAGAATAAATATTAAAAAAATAAAATGGTTAATGAAAGTATTTACAAGTGCTTCTACTTTTTAAAATATAGCTACTAGACAATATTAAATTATATGAAAGACTTGTGTTTTATTTCTTTTGACAGAGTTAATCCAAAAGCTCAGGGGCCTAAGAAAGGGCTGAGGATTATGGGGATGGGAGGCATTTTGGAAATGATGACTTCGCTTTGGTGGCATTTGACTTCATCGTACCTTGGTGGGGAGAGCTAGGGTTCCAGCATACAAAAGAATAGTGTGGGTCTTCACAGAAAGAGGGGTGAAGAGTCTCTCTTCCCTCTTAAAAATATAGTTGTTCCTCTTGGTTACTAATTATAATTATAATTACCTTAATATCTTAACCCTTTATGCAGGAGTTTGCCTTGATTCAGACTAGTCTTTCTCTTAAACACATAAAAAAATGCTCAACTCACTTATAATAAGAAAAACACAAAATAAAATACCTGGAGATACCATTGTTCATCTAGCAGATTAACTAAGATAAAAAATAAATAAAGTACAAACCTTGTGAATCAGGTGTAGACAAACGGGGTGGTGGGAATTTGATTGGCAGCATTGGTTTTTTTTTTTTTTTTAGCTGAAGATCGAACTTAGGGCCTTGAGCCTGCTAGGCAAGCACTCTACCACTGAGCCACATCCCAACCCCCATTACAATTTTAATTGTGCATACTCTTTAACTTAGCCCCAGTATTTACCCTACAGACAAATAGGTGCAAAACGACATATGTAAAAGAATATTTATTGCAGAACTGCTTTTTTTCTTTTCAAGGACAACTTAAGTGTCCACAAGTATAGGCTGATTATATAAATTGTGGGTATAATTTAATAGAATTACAAAATAATGTAAGCTAGTGAATAATGTGACTTCAGTGGCAGGCAGCTCTAAATAATCAGATGGACGTCTGGGTTCAGCTATAGAAAGATCTGTAAGATATATTGTTAAGTTAAAAAAGAAAGAGAGAGGGGCTGGGATTGTGGCTCAGTGGTAAAGTGCTCGCCTAGCATGCATGAGGCATTGGGTTTGATCCTCAGCACCATATAAATGTAAAAATAAAGATATTGTGTCCACCTAAAACTAAAAAAATAATAATTATTTAAAAAAACCCGTGAGAACAGTTTATTAGCACACTGCCATTTCTGTAGGGGGAAATTCAGTATATTTGCTAGGCTAAATGTCCATAAATCTATAAATTTTCTAAAGGATATATAAGACATGAATCACAGTGGTGGCTTTGAACGAGGGAGACTATGCTGTAGGGAGAACAGGGCATAAGGGAAACTATCTTTTGCTGTGTACTGTTGAGTACTTAAATTTTATGATATGCATATATTGCCAATCAAAGACTAAAGACAAAATGTGGGTGCTTCTCTGTAAGCAGGAAATGCCCTCTTTGCACGCTCCACACAGCTTCCTTTGCCTGTGTCACAGCCTGGCTCTGACCCTTTTGTGTTGTTGTTCTTTTTAGGTACACATGATAGTAGAGTATGTATTTTGACATATTATACATACATGGAGTATGTATACTTGTGGACAACTTAAGTGTCCACAAGTATAGGATCCCATTATTTTGGTTGTACATGACTGTGACTCTTTATTTTCAAGCAAGTCAGAGTTTCCTCTCCTCAATTAGTAACTGAAGAGAAATTTTTATGCATTTATTTAATTGTGAAAGACTATCTGGATTTAGCAGGATTTAGATTTCAAAGATTTCGATTCCCCACCTGTATTTTGGCCCTTCCTTAAGATTTAAACATTTGTCACTAAAATAATGAAAATTTTTTTCCTCACTTACATAAAATGAGGTAGCTGTTGGGGCTGGGGCTGGGGCTCAGTAGTAGAGTGCTCGCCTAGCACATGCGGAGCCCTGGGTTCGATCCTCAGCACCACATAAAAATAAATAAAAGGATTGTGTCCAGCTACAACTAAAAAATTAAGACACATTTTGATTAAAACAGAACTGAACAAGAAAATCCAACTGCAATGCGCCCTCTAGTGGTTAAAGGAAACACTCCCAAACTATTAGAGGA